AGATTGCGGCTGAGTTACCTAGCAGAAAGCGTTTGGCAACTTGGTAAAATTGAAGATTTAGTGTAAGAAAAATCTTTGCTAAGCGAACATTCATAGTGATGTCAATCTGCGGTACGTCCGAGCAACGTCTATTGCTTATTCTTCACATGTTGGTCTTAGTAAGTGCCTTCAATGTCTTTTTAAGCATTTTTTTAGGCGAGGAATCTCATTTATTCATGAGAACTCAGCGTGAATTTAACATTTCTTCTAGGTCTTGCACTTATTTGACCTTTTCACTCCGTAACTAGGCAAATGCTATACGGCGCAGTTTAGTTAACATTTGGGGTAGTAGGACAAGGGAAATATTGAAAACCACAGATCAGCTGCAAATAGCTTTCTGGCAGACGGTCAGCAGTTGTGGAAACAGAAGCTCAGATGGAAAAATAGTTTGCCTGTATTTGCCCAAACAAAACCAAAGTATATCCTGATAGGAAACCGTTTCGTCGAAAAAAAGACAATTTCATATTTGTCTGCCTAAGGCACATTATCTCATGATTTTTTTGATTTTTGCAGCTTTTTGAAAAATGCAACATTATTCAGCGATGTGGTAGCCAGTCAGGTGCAAAAAATTGAAATGATCAATCTTTAGAGTGGAATTAAATGATTTTATACTACTTAAACAAGTCTGCAATGCGCCCACAGCGGTTTGATACATAGTTAAAACTAATTGGACTGACTACTTGAATGCCGTTGATCCTTCGGAAATATCAATGCTTTGCTCTTGACTTGGGATTGATCTTGCTTGAGTAAAACACACTGTATTCAAAAATTTGGATAGCCCTACAATTCCCAGAGATGTTTGTCTGAAATCACAATTTGTAGACATTCCGGTAATCAGGAGATAATTAGGTGAACTCTACGATACTGCAGTATTACTGTAATTGCTGGACAGGTTTGCTGAAGTACCGTATTACCTAACTACTGCTCTTCATTTATGCAATTTACAACAGATAATTCGCTACTGAGCTTTTCCCAGCGAACATCCCCTCGGTCAGTTTGGTACTGAAGAATTGTCGAAAAAACTTACCTAGTCATATTGCTTGAATTTAATAAATTTTGAAAGAAATTAGAAAATCAATTACATCTGTGCAATGAAAATCTGATGACAGCTCCAGAATTTCCTCACTTCTCAGTAAATTGCATAAAACCAGTGTGCGCAGACTACGTCAAACAAAAGTGACTGATCAATTTATGTTAAAAAACGTCCTTTAGTTGATTGAATCTTACAATCAGTTTGTGGAACTTCCTACTTATGCCAGTGACAAGTAACCGCTAATAAGTCTCAAAAAGTGATAGGAACATCGCTGAAAGCTTCACTTTGCTTGTAGGTAAATAAATCACAAATAATTTTCAGCGCTAACTAAATGCGCGGAAGCTTCTGGGCATTTTGTAAGCTTACTAACAGGTTTTATGGACAACACAGTCCAGTTTGCTAAACGCTACGTTTCAAGAGCTTCTTTGCTAACATCAAACATCGACACGTCGCCCCTGCCGGAGCTGTTCGTCTAGAAATTGTTCATATCCTCTAAGCGGATCGTGGAATCTACGTGAACTAAAATGTCAAGTTAAGAATGAAGTAGGGTTTTTCGATAGAAACTGTTTCCCCGCATTACTGTGACATCCCGTAGAATTCAGACCACGTTTCCTAAGGAGTTAACTGACAAGTCAGCTAACTTATGACAGTTTAGTTTAAAGCGTGTGTAGATCACAGAAGAACTTTACGTTAACTCAGAACATGTAAATATATACTATAAGCTTAATGCGCCCGTGGCATGCTGTGGTAGGAAATTCCTGCCTGCCTACAGGGTTTCTAAATCAGTTCAACATTTCCAAACCGAATACCGAAGCTTGCTTTACCTTGTGTAAATAAACTGAACAAATGTTTCTGGCGTAGAATTTTGAGTGATTTGCAGTTACCTTGAGGCAATAAGTGATTCAAGATATACTTCTCGTAAATGTCAACATATTGGTTATAAAGTCATTGGTATAATCTTAAACTGAAATAGGTTCCAAACAATTTTGTGTGAATAGGAATAATACATCTTCTAATTACTTTTCGATTTTTTTTAATTATGGGCAGCTATTTTGGCCTGATTTTCTGGAATATCCCCAGTAAAGGGAGCCAAATCGTTCGCTTATCAAAAAGCCAAAATTTTCGCATTTTGGAAACATTAACTGTCTTTATTTTAGGACAAAAACGGTGGCGACGTTTGGTATTTTTTGATGCTTTCCTCCTCAAGAGGTCTTTACAATTATGCTCGCTTAAAAGCGTTTTACCTGTCTTTTTAATTTTAGTGGTTATCTCTGCTAAAAGCAGTATTGTTCACTGAAGAAAATTGTGAGTCTTAAATTGCGAATCAGTTGAGGCGCATTTTTGTCTTTTCGGAAATAACTGGTTCATTGTATTACTTGGTCACTTCGTGATGAAAAATTCGGCAGAATATATACGGTGTCCGGATGAAGCTGTGCAACAAATGCAGATTTGAGTTTTACCCCAGAGGACTCTCACCTCCAGCTTTATTCTAAACAAACACAGACATTATCAACGAGAATAATGCTAAAGTTACTCGGCTATTTGTTTCTGAAACAAAGCTTTAAGTTTTAAAAGTCAGAATTTTTATATTTAAATCTCAAAATGATTGTTTTCTCCATTTTGGATGATAATGCTGGCAGGTGGATGGAGAATAATCGGCTATTCTGCACGCAATTTGCGTGTAGTAACAACCACTGGTTTGTCATTCGGTACTTGGAGACAGTAATCCCAAGAAGCACAATCATTAAGAGTTCAAATTGATAAAAATCACGAAATCTCAGCATTTTAAAAGGGTTTTGCTGTCGATGCGATACCACCATACGATTATTCTCAAAAGATCTTCGCCTGATGAGACAACAAAACGTGAATTAGTTTGCTAATCTATGCAGTTTTATTGACATTGTTCGTAACTCTTATATGTTCATATACTGTATGGAAACGTACCTCTACAGGAACCGTTTTTTTGAGCGTACCCTCTTCCGCAATAGCTCGTCTGGCAAGGCTGACATGGTTCACCCCAAGCAATCCCGAAGCTATTGCAGCATACCTCTCTTGACATTTTAGTGGTTACGTTTATCGAATGCTGGCTGTATTGAATTGGATTCACACAGAGCCCTCTCTGAAGTTTGGCGAAGCAAGCGGACTCCAGGACTCCTGAAACGGTAAACAAACCACTCCGTTTTCTTCAGCGCGTCATCTTGTGTGACAACTGAGTTGAATTGGATTCACACAGAGCCCTCTCTGGAGTTTGGCGAAGCAAGCGGACTCCAGTACTTCTGAAACGGCAAAAGAAACCATTCCGTTTTCTTCAGCGCGTCTTCTTGTGTGACAACTGAATATGGTTACTCATTCATCTCAACGGGAGCACGCCAGTGGTGAGAAGAATGGTGAATAAATTCAATGGACAAAATCTTAACATATGGAGTGCTCTGACTAAAAGGCACACCAGTTTAGGAAAGCATTTTGACACGCATTTCATCCCAAACGCCACGAACGATTAGCGGTAAACATGAAACGAATTCTTCAAGGTATCAAAGGTGTCATGTGACTTTAATTGATTAATTGCACCCATTAAACCAAACGTCCCCTATTTGTCATCGGGTATAGCTTGCGTCAGCCGAATATGCTTCGTTTCGGACGTTCACTCTGGCAAATGTCATCACCTAGCGGGAGTGATCACGTGGCAGATCAGGTGACAAATTATGCATTTGTTGCGTTTTGCCGAGTATGACTGGGATTTGTGGGTGTGTGAGAGTACCAAACCACATTCACTTTGTAAATATGATTATAGATGTTCAACAGTTGAAGTGTAGTGTATCTACAACTTAGCGATGGCCTTACCCATTATCAGCATAAGGGAAGATTTTCTGTTTCCGCTGAGGCAAAATCTCGCTAAAGACATTGCGAAGCGGCTGGCGTTACAGAATTATGGTGAGAAATAGGAACTCCTTTGATAAACTAGCATTTCTTAATCGCTTTCCTCCTAACTTTCCCTTGCTATGACGAAATTCTAAGCCAAGTAGATGGTATTATGCATGTCCTCCTTTATTCGTTAAAATTTTTCGTAAATATATGCTTCAAAGGCGTAGAGAAACGGGTTTACAAGATACAACCTGATGATCACCTTCCAGATGATGTGAAACATCTGCACATGATCTCTATTAGTGTGGGGATTCCAAGTTGATGGTAGCTGTGGTTCGCATAACGGTTGAGGTGCTGTTTCCTGGGAACAAAACCGACGTGGCATTGAGAGTTAACGTTTTATTACTACGTAAGTGCCATCATTCGTACCCGGTCTAAGATTACTTCTCGACACAGAGTTTAAAGATAGACAAACTTGTTATCTAAGTTGTAAGTCTACCGACTTTAAGCACTTAAGTGCGTACGTCAATCGTCCAAATGTAAAATTAGTGTGAGGAATCAATCACACTACTGACGATAAATGCCCGACATACTAATCACATCTCTTAAGCGTGAACACGTTCACCCGTTCAGACGTGAAAATTCAGATGAGTCCAACGTGTGCTGGTGGAATAATGGTAACACCTCCTCGCATGTCAGGTGTCCGGAGTTCGAACCTCGGACACGGCCATTGGATATGCACTGCTGATGAGCTCTAATGAGAGCGAGACTTGAGTCCTGTGCTCCATGGATTCACCAGAATAATATCACTAGGACAGGAGGGCGACTGTTTAAACGAGAGTGATGTGAATGTGAACAATACACATCTTGTAAACCCACAACAGAGAGTTTTGTTGAGTCCTGCTGGGGCATTAGAGAACCCCTTGTCAGTACTCATGACGAGGAAAAACATGCTATGTCGATTTCGGTGATCGCGTGACATCTAATAATTCCTACATTTCTATTAATCTACATCTAGTATTTGTTGCTAAATTTCTGAAGAGTGAAAAAGGTTCAGATCGGAATGATTAAGTTTAGGAAAACATTGAATTGCTTCACTAACCTTCACAAGCTTCTCCACTAAACCCATCGTCACATTCACAAGTGCCATCCACACAACGTCCGCGGCGGTTGCAGTCATCAACACAGGTGACTGGAAGCAAAAGCAAAAGCGACGAGCTAGAAGGCAATATGGCCTCACATATATATGGAAGAAAACAATACGCTGTTGGTGGTGCTAAGTAGATGTGTTAATTTCCTGCATTAGTCTGGAACGCCAGTCCCTCCATCACTAGTTGGCGGTCAACTGACCCACAGAAAAACTCGGATATCCTATTCTGTATTGACAATTTAACAGATGATAATGGCGTGAATTCTTAATTTTCAACTGATATTTGGTCCTATAAGGGAAGCTAGTTTATGCCAAAGACACGCGTGGCGTTGTACGGACATTTTTTCCTTTTTTGGATTTATCAGGAATGCGCCCCTCACAAAACTCAAGGGAGTCTCACGCATGTGTTTTCCAGGGTAAATATGTTGAACACTAAACTGTTCAAATACGTGTGGCTGGTTAGCAGGGTGATGACCCCATACTTGGGATCCTTCAATCACGGGATCATAAATGTTCACCACTTCCTCGAGTGACAACCTCTCAGCTGTTTTTTTTACTCAGCTTGTGAAATTATTACTCCATTGAGCTACTTATAAATTGTTATAACTGCTCCAGCAATTATTTCTCGAAAAACCTGATGTATTCTTGTGTGATAAAAATCTTACATATATGGCCATGCATTTTTCAAACAAAAGGAGGGAATATGCTCGCCTAACCCATCAGTGCGGCAAACGGACATTTTGATTTCCCAAAGACTTGAAGTGAGTACTCTGGTTTTCAGTCTCCCTATCTCAAAATAGTTGACTTATGTCAAGAAAACGTGAATTTAGTTAACAGTCTTTTGTTGTTCCCAGCATCAATGAGAAACGGCTACATGACAAAGGCATTACTGCTCTTCACACATCGTTGTCAAGTGGCCAACTGCAGAATTCCATCCGTTCACTAAAACATGAGAAACCGTTTAAAAGTTAGATAAACTTCCCACTGTATGGGCAAAATCATTCATACGATTCCCTCTGTTATTTGGCCTGAATATTTTTGTGTGCAAAGTTTGGTACCTACAGTTAAAAATAGGGTTGACGCAGTTCACAAGGCTGTCTTTCTAAAGGCACAAATTAGGCCGACGCGGCCACGGAAACTTTCGGTTGACACCTTGTAGCTATTATTATGGTACGGCATGCCGACATATCAAGAAATTGAACAATGCGAATCTTTCTACTCGTCAACCTCAGTGCTACTACTGCAAGATGGTCTCCTGGAATCCGCACTAGTAAGTTCAGGGAAAACATTCGAACAAAATGAACCACATTATCACTAACAAATATGGTTTGCTGGGGAAAGCGTAGCTCAGCATCAAACAGTTTGAAAAAAGGTTAAACAAACTGGTGAAATATGGAGAAAAGTACCAAGATACCAAGTTCCATGAAGTACATTTATGTGAGCTTGAATCAGTTTATGGTATGCTGGCAGATGTTGGTAACTGCTTAACTGTTAACAATTCTCAAGTACTTTATTCCGTTTCAGAAGAAGTTTCCGTAAAACGAAGTATCAGTCCATCAGATGATTGGTAAAGCTTAACTTGCTGATAGATTTCAACAAGAATAAAACAGTTCCACTGACGGTTCTCTATTCCTCCAAATGCACTGATTCATTGCCGCTGAAACGGTGAATCGCAATGGTGACAGAAATTTCCAAATGGCAAATTTACATAAAATTTTACGGAAAAACTTGAAGGACATAACTCGGGTAAAGCGGGACTGTTGTCCTCTGATCACACTGATGGCCAACGTTTAGATCAATCAAGAAAATACATAAATCTGTGCCTTCACTTGGGTGCCAAAATTCTGCCCCCTCCCAAAAAAACAGCTCTTGGTTATTTCATTTGCAAACCCAGATATGGTCTAGACAGAAGGAAGGACAATCATTTGAAAATGATGTTATTCTTACCAGATGGTTGATCATGTTGCATTGATTCCGGTTCGTCCGCATCGCACGAGAATCGCAGGCGTCTGTCCGCACACAAACACGTGTTCGGGCGTATACACTGGCCGTGATCACCACAATCTCCGGCGCAAGATGCTGAAGTGGGGAAGTAATACAGGTTGGAAAAATCGAAAAACTCCAAAAACATGACTCAGCAGCTCGGCTTTTTCTAATGTTGATTTTATATTACACAATCGAACTCGACAAGTGTCTGCACACGTTGCATTGGTAACAAACGTACACTGGAGTAAAAAATAAGTTGTATCGACTGAAGATATAAGAAGGCTTTGACACAATCAAACTGGACAAGTGTCTGCACACGTTGCTTGGTAACAAACGTACACTGGAGTAAAAAATAAGTTGTATCGACTGAAGAATATAAGAAGCTTTGACACGTTAAATGCCAAAACACAAACTATGTAGTTCATTTTGAAACCTGTTTATCGGCTACTTGCGATTCAGTGGAATTTGTAACAATAACGTACTTGCTCCTTGAAACACTCTAACGTCTGTATGCCTAAAAAAGTGCTGGATTATATTATCACAACGCGGACCATTCAAGAAGAAAATCCAATATCAGGGTTAGAAACTTAAGTAAGTGGATGCACAGGAGAAATTTATCAAGTGAAAGACACAGGCATTGGACAACTAATTGAATTTACAACCGTATCCGAGTGTTTACGGTAGGTGCATGTTCGGAGACGAAAGATCCCACCAGTGGAAAGCTTGTTTTTGAAGTACTGCCTACCAGTTATGCGCTCAGGAGTAGAATATTTTGGCTTGCGGAATCGTGAAGTAATTTGTGCATAATATTGCATCAGTTTTTCTATGTAGAGTGGGGGGTGGTGCCCAATTTTGTACACAAGCATGGCGGGTGTACATTCGTTTTGTCCGGCTGAAGCAAAGGACTGAACAAAGAACCTTTTACCACGTTTCACACTTTCAGTTTTGTGAAGCCTCTTCGGTTCTACCATTGAAACATTTGTGCTTAGAATTGGGCTCATAACAACAAATGTTGGATGGTGGGCAATGAATCTGTCTCCGCATATCAGTACGCACTCAGAATGGTACCAAATTCAATGGCATTTGAAAAACAACTGTTGTCTGGAAGCAAGCGAAAGTAAGCAAGATGAAACTACACAAAGCAAAATCCTTAGAATAGTACAAAGCGTATATTTATACCGCTTAATTAAAAACCTTTCTGAAAGAAACACGTTTTGAAAAATCAGGCAGGCTCTCGTAATTTCCAGACATTTTGTTTAAAAACCCATTTGTCATTGTTTTACACAGACAGTAAAATTTGATTCAGGAATCAGACAGCCACGTAGAGAGGGATTAGACGTAGAGAATGAGTGAACGTTGTACATCAGGGTTGTGTCTACGGTAGACAAGAAGTAGAAATTAAGGAACAATGCGAATTGGGCACTGCAATGTCTATGTAGGCCCGATTGGATGGTAAATATCAGGAATAAATACAAACTGATAAACAGAAAACAAAATCACGTAAAACATAGTGGGTAAGACTGTCATGAATTGCGACTCTTTATGGCAAGGCTAACCACAGATGTTACTCTGTGGAGATGAGTCTGGTTTGAGACGTCGGATAGCCATGGTTCTCATCCTGCACCAGTGAATTTAAATTGCTAGCGAGCAACGCTTTCATGACTGTGCAGTTTTATATAGCAGCAACGTTTCGATGAAACTCCTCAGAACTAAACCGACCAATGTTCTCGCAACCAAATCAGGTGTTGGATGATGTAGGCTAATGAATGCTATTCGTATGCTGAAACACGAAAGCCCAGCTTGATAGAAACAGAATAAACCGGTTATCATTCAGAGATTTTTATTTAGTTTCGTCAATCGTCGTAGGTTCACCTGAGTCTCGTGCAATGTACTTCAAGCTAGAGGCGTGAAATGTTGGATGAAATGCGTTGTTCCTCTAAACAATTCAGTAATTGGTCATTTTCCTATGGGATTACTAAGAAAAATTCCCTGTTTGGGAATACTTTGAACCCTAGTTTTCAATATTTGCGTGAAACATATTTCCTGTGACTTGATGCTCCACGGTTAAGCTAAATATGTAATATGAGAAAATTTCTGTTTATCTTTATGTTAGTCACCGTTCACCGTACACCACATTATGTTTAAAATATTCAGCAATATTTCCAATGTTCGGGTTTTTAACCGAATCACGGATGAAGAAACGCCAATTAGAATTAAATTTTTGAGCATCAAAATACCAGCTGTGACGGTCATCTGCTAAAACAAGCGCACCAGTTCACCCATCACGCACAAATCTAGCAAAGTTGTTCGTCTACTCATTTAGACTGCCTTCTAAAACAAACCTGATACATATAAACATATCGATATGATAGCTCTTGGGATAGGAGAGTGTATTTTTCATGCTGGTACTCGAGAATTCAAGATCACACAGAAAACCTTTACTGAATATTATTAAATAAGACAACAATGATATGTGAGATGGTTCAAATCAAAATAACTTTTTTCGTTGTGTGTTTTTAAATTTTTAAGTTACCCTCTGATTTTCCTCATGAGAAGAGCTCCTTGATAATGGAAAATAGGAGAGTTCCAGAACTGTCATCGCCATGAACTCTTTCTTCCAAAATTTATCATAATTATTTTATTTTCGAGTTAACGGTTTGCCACTTAAGCCGCATGATATTACTTGAAAATTAGACTCGTTGGATTCAGTGCAAGATAATGGTGTCAATTAATCTTCAAAAACATTCTAATGGCTTCCAAAGTTGAAGATTGAAGTTGAAAATTGGACTGGTTGTGTCCATTGCATAATACTGGCGTCATTCACTTTTGTAAAATATTTTCAAGGGCTTCCAAAGTGTCTGCATAATTGTGGTGGGGTCTTGCAAAAACAGTAGTTATTAAAAAAAACACGTGAGCCCTGATACACTGAAGAATCGTTTTCAAGCTCGGTGACGATGCCAACACTAATGCCCTATATATCCAACACTCGCAAACACCACAAAGCGACATAAACTAGATCAACCTATCAGACCGGTAAAGTGAAGACCAGTTCCGATAATCAGGTTTATCAAAAGCAAGGACTTATTCTATATAGTTGGAATGAAAAATGAACCCTAACATCCGGTTAGTTCCCGCGATTCTTCCGGCAGTGTGACGCTGAAATGGTTTTCATTTATCCATTTCCTTTGTTAGTAGATATTTCCACTTTCAAATGGTCCACTGCACACTGCAGTGCCTGCACACTAAACCAAACCCCTGGAGAAGTTGACAAAATTAATTTTATCGTGCCACAGGAGTTTACCATCAAAACAGATGAAATATTTCGTTTTTATAGGACGTATAAATTTTGCACTCATCACGTCTCAACTGGCTAGAATTTTTTCGTAACACCTGGGAAATTACATTTATGCAGGTGTTTCACTGTGCTCTTCAAATTTAGTCACGATGCCGGCACACAACGTCCAAAAATACATGTTCGACGCTAGCCGTCAAAACCATCTGTTCAAGGCTAATTTTTCTGTCTTTCACACGCGCGTTATCCATGCACTCTCATTGTTGTCCTCTTTTATCAGTTTTTCTTTCTTTCACTATTAAAGTATTTGTGGGAAGTAAGTGTGACAACACAAAACAAACCAACATGAATACATTTTATATATTAATTACTATACAATACCATACTATACTATACAACATTATAAAATTAAGATACCATAATACATTATATATTATATGTATTATGATATTATGATATATTTTGCGTAAAACGAGGACTCAACTCCAGAACTGTACCTGCGTCGCTTATTATCTGTGCCGTATTTTTCTGGAGATTAGTTGGTAGTTGGTGAAACTGGCTTGATGAGTAGACTGCCAAAGAGGAACCATGGGAAATAAAACACTAAGAATCAAGTGTAATGAGATAGTGCTTGCTGAAATACCTAGGTTATTTTTTTTGCCTGGATGCACATTTAGGTTCCATTACATTTGCTCTCCCTACCTGAAATGACAAACAATGTGACGGCGACCTGCTCTGTTCTCATTCATTTTGAAAATAAGAGATGGCTGCTCTTGACCTGAAGTCCGTCGCTGTTTTTTAGAGTACACTCAAGAAAACGCTTTATTTGCAGTCAAAATATCCACACTTATGAGGACGATGCCAAAAAACAACAAATTTACAAGCAACTCTGCGTAGTAATGATTATTTATTACAATTTCAAACATTTACATTTAGTTGGCTAACAGTAAGAAATCATTATCGGTTTATTATTATTATCGGTTCATCGAGACAAAAGACTTAAACCGAGACACTTATACCTTCACTTTTGAGTTTCAATCAGAGCTTAATTTAGCAAAACATATATGCCTTTGAATACCGTCCATGCAGCATGATTTAAAAAGCTGACAAAGAGTTTCTTCCAAAATCAGTCAAAGGGTTTCTCCAGACAACAGTTTTAATGCGTTATAAAAAGAAAAGTGGTTACATTTATTTTCCTTTTAACAACCGTGAAGTCTTTCTTGCTTTTTTAGACTTTCATATGCTTGCTTCACTTATAAGGATTGTCTGCCGTTTGGTTAGGGCAAATAATTTATTCTTTATTGATGCAGAGGCAATAAACGTTTCCGCTGAACGTGAACCAGGCAGACATGTTTTTTTGGATTTATCTTTTTCCCTTCATTATTTAAAAACATCACTTCTTCATACAGGTAGTGTACCTTTATTCTGCTTATCAATTACATGTGTTCCAAGTTGAGATGAGTCTAAGGGAATTCTTAACGAAAAGCCGTTCACCTGAGCTGGCCATCAAAGTGAAATATTAACTAGCGTCATACTGGAAATTTGTCTCTTTTGTTTTCATACTATGAGTGCATTTTTCAAATTCTGTTTTTTTTGCTATTTCGTTAAAAGCATGATAATACAGCTAGAAAAGAAACGTCCTTTCAGATTTACTGCGGTATCTTCGGTTGAATGTGCGAAACGTGGCAAAACATCACATGCAGTGCCCCGATTCTAGGGTAGCCACCATTTTTGACATAAGGTTTATGTTGAGCGTGACTTAAGCCATTTATTGCGCACAGGTTAAAATGATCTGCAATTTTCTGGTTTTCGGGATATACCAAAAACCTCTGTTTTGTTTTAATTGCAACAATCTTTACAAACGCACAGTGGCGGTAAATCAGTGTTTGTCTTACAAATTAATTAGCCGTTTAGATGCCAAATTCTAAACCAACTTGGATCTCGTTCATCTTGGTAACCATAGGAATGGCATGATCACTGTCTGTAAGTGATCCTCTTGAAAAACAGACTATTTTCCAAAGGTCGGTTGCATCAAAACAAAGTGCACAGCCGTCCGGTGTATATTTTATACCACATCAGATAGACCATCCGATGCTGTACAATTATTTGATTGAGGTGGGCTTGTCTCTCTTTTCCTCTTTAAAGAAGACTGTATGTTTCCGTTTTCCGCACTGGACACCTGTCGGCATTCTAGATGATCAAACTCCATGGTGCCTCGTTCATGGACGTTTGAGGAAAAAATATGCATATATTTATTGGGTAGTTAGATTTTTAACATATCCTTTAATAAAACTAAAGTAAACAGTGGAACATTTAACGTCCTTTTATAAATCTTTTGGCCGAAATATCTTTATCGTGAGCATGTTAGCAGGTTTTACTCAAAACATGCACCAGAAAACAACGTTCATGGGCATAGCCTATAATTTTTGACTGTAATATTTTCACGCAATTATTGAGAATTAAAGAATTTATTTATTGTTGCTGGCCTGAAAGATATTTTTAGCACAATATAAACAACTCATATCAGTTAGGTTTTTAAGTGAAGGCTGGCATGTCTGCGTTTGTTGATTTTTTTATATTACTTACCAAGAAATTGGCAGGCATTTATAACTATACAAGTGATATATGTAGATTTCTTGATCGCACAGTTTTTACTTTTTGGTTGGGCGTGCCGCGGTATCACAGGTTCGGCGCATGTCAATGAAACAACTTGTTTTTGTGGTTCGGATCGTTCCTTGACAAGTCATCATTCCATGCTATCTTAGTTAATTGGTAGGTGGTGGGTCATCGAGATAGCGTAGAAAAAAGAAACCGGACAGTTCAGTTGCCGGCAGGAAGAGCAAAACCATTTTTTGATTCACCGTCAGTATTACGATATTTCTGGGTTTTTAGAAAAAAAACTACGTCTTTAACTATCCTGGCTAAGCGTTTCCAAACCAAAGTAATATACTTTCGGATAAATATTTTACGTACGCTGCTGCAACTTTCCACAAAAATATTTCCAAAGTAATATACTTTCGGATAAATATTTTACGTACGCTGCTGCAACTTTCCACAAAAAATATTTTTCAACCGACGCCAACGGGTGTTTGAATCAAATTGTGAAGTAAATAAGAAAATATCTCAAATTTCGACACTTCGATATCTTTTACTTGATTCTTGCCTTTATACTTTCAAGCCACAAGCTTAAAACACATAAATCACATATGCGAGTCACTCAGTAGTACGAGAGAGGGTTGTCATAGTACACGTCGATATCATGTGACCAGGTACACTACTCAGACAAATTTTGTGTTCTCAAAATGGTTGAAGTTTGGTCAACCAGACTTTTCGGATGATTAGAAGAGCTGAGTTCTGTGGTTCTTGAGACAAAGTGTTTGACTGGATTTATTGACAACTTTGAAACACCGACACAAATCCTCGATCTGTCCTCCGATCTTTCGGGGATGGATGAATTATTGTTCAAGACATTACGTTGATGTTTGTCGTTCCAAGAGGCGAAAAAGATGTTGATCGGTTCTGTTAATTCAGACATGCTAGTAGATGTGATAAAGCGGGCATTCGTTTCAAACTTTACGTCGTTGCAAATTTCAAGAACACGATTGAGAGCAGTCTGAAAGGGGAATATTTGTGTCACAATCTGTGCTGCTCCTAGAGCCGAAGCCAATTAAAGTCCAGTATCGATCCCCAGCCGCTTAGCCTAAAACTCTAAGCACCGCTGCTCTTGAGGCAGCGCAACTTCATATATTTCAATTATGAGCTCGCGCTATCTTTTTCCAGTAACTGGAATGTTTTTTGATGACATTACACTGTAATATTGAAGCTTTTCATCCCTGGTCAAACTTATACGAAACAAATGGCAAATTTCCAGTAACTCATAAGCACAAGTAAAACTGTTGAGCACGTAGAAACACGGAATAGCAATATGATTTCTGGAGTTGATTTTGTTAAATTAAGCGATGGATTCCTTATCATCGATCCTGAACATTATTAGTCATTGAACCATTCCATGAGCTGACATGGGTTGACATTATCGTTACGCACTTCAAGAGTATTGGTGTTCTTGTAGGAGTCTGATTACATTTTGTCTTCCACTGCGTCTTCTGGACTAAAATTTTTCTTGATATTTTGGCAGTTTTTAGACCCATCCACGTGGGCATCAAGCTTCGTCTCTTTGGTATGCGAACGTGGCTTTTTTCAGTTGCCACCACTGTGGGTATTTTTTATCTGTTCCGTTGTTTAGACCATTTGTCTCGTCTGAACGTCTAGTAAGTGCTGTTCCTACGGTAGTTTATGACACATACAAGCCCAATCACTGTGGAAATTCCCCTTTCTGAAAGGAATATCTGGTTC